TGGGTCCAGCGTTTATGGGATTAGATCCCCCACGCTCTAGCTTTTGGGTTGCTTCAGTGCCATGTACTCGTGTCTGCTTGTCTTGAATAAATAATAAGTTATTTTGTGCTTAAAAAAAAAAGTACCGAAACCTTCTTAATTTTTAACAATGCAATCCCATGCACAAAGTTGATTATGAATAAAACTTAGATGGCCTAAAAGATAATACAATTAAGTTTTAAAATATATGTCTTTCATTTTAATGCAAATAATCATTTTCTAACAATAAAATAAAAGGAGGAAATCCACAACTCTACGTGTCATGTTAGTAATTTCATTTTCCTTCTTTATGCATTCATTTTTTAAACTTTGCTTCTGTTCTAAATGCTCTCATAAATTCCGCAAACAAGTATATCACATAAATCATACTTCAACTAAAAGTTATTTAATGAAGGTTCATACATTAGAAAGTGATTTCACATATTGTACTCCAAAGTAATTACGGTAAAACTATGATTTAAAAGAAATTTAGAGATGAGAAAATTAACCGTCTTTAAAAAAGGTCAAAAACCAAAAGGAAGATCAAAGCTTGAAACCAAAGTTTCAATTATTGATTTCTTAGAACTGATTTTAATTTATTACATTGGTTGATTTAAATTCATTATATTTTGTGGTACTATCTGTCCTGTCAATACACATATATACTTAAATAATAACTAATTCAAAATATTATTATAATGCACATATTTCAGGAATAACTAATTAAAATTTTATTCCTTCAACTTAAAAATTAAACTAGTAATGTCTTCAGCCCACATGCAATGCACGCGTACATGCATATTATTACTTTATATATATTAAGCGTCAAAGTTGTACTCAATTACACATGGCAATTACATATAGCATATTGTTAGTTTATAATTTCACAAACCTCCCTTGAGATTTATGACAATTTCACTCGGCTCTCCTTAGATTTTACAAATTACATTGACCTCCCTTGTCACAATAAAATGACTATAATGACCTTCACTTAGGGTGCATTTGATAAAAGTGAAGTTTGAAAATTAAAGTCTGAAATCTGAAGTCTAAATCCATTAAGTTACTGAATTATTGAGTATTAAATCAAATACATTTAAGTGCATATCACATTCAGATTCACTTATCACTTAATTTTGGAAGCAAGTTTGTCTAGGAAATTCAGTGCCACTTAATAAATTCAAATGTTCAATTTTTGTTATCAAACGGATTGAATATGTTAAGATCTGAATCCATTAAATTTAGGTGCTGAATTGAGTTATCAAACATGGTCTTAATAAACAATTCATTGTATAATGAAATGAGATTTTTTTAAAAAAAAAAAAAGAAAAAGAAGCCTAACCTTTTTTGCTATCTTGTTTACAAATTACATCCGACGACGATTCTCTCTCATTTACTATCACTCCTTTCTCATCCATCAACCCTTTCCTCTTATAACTCGCTCTCAAGTTACCACCAACCATTGCCTATAATTGCACCCAATTACACCACTAGTGATCCCTCAAACTCTACTATATATTTCTATTCCTTCTTTATTCTCTTTGGAACTGCCAAATCACAAGTTTAGTTGAGGGATTAGATTTGATGGTTGAAATAAAATCCGATTCCATGGTCAAACTAAAAGGAGATGAAGAGGCAATCAATAATAATAGAACAAATAATGCAATCATTGGCCAAAAGAAGAAGAGGGACTGAAATTAGTAAATTTGTTAATTTGTCTATCATCCATTCAAAAAACTTTTTAAGATGTTAATAAGTACATTTATATTTCTTTTTATACTTGACAATTATTGGTTGTGGTTTCGCTACGAAAATAGGATTTCTTCTTTGTATTTAAGATATTAACATGTTTGGAGATTTAATGGAAAGTTAGATTATTTTGTTTTGAGAAGGTGTGGGCATTAGATTTGAAGTTTAGGGTGTGATTAGTTGTAAATAGAATTTTGGTTTTTGGCAAAATGAATTTCTTGAAAATCTCTATAGTTATAATGATGTATTTTCTTCTCTTAAACTTGATTAATCCCATCCATGTCTAAATCTCCCCTAAGAATTTTCTTCAAAGATATAATGTGGCTCATGTAGTAGAAGTTAAGCCATTTATATGGAACAATACCATGGCATCTTATGTTGAAAATTATGCAAACATAAGAGCAGTTGATTGTAAGTTTGACCATTCCATGGAACCATATGTTGAGAATATTTCTGTAGAATGGAACAAATCTTCAGAATTGAATGCATACTTTGGGAGAAGCAATTTTATGACTATGATGATGGAATTGCTTGAGTTTAGAATTTGGAATTTGACTATTTGTTAGGCTAGTTTGTTAGTATAGTGGGTTTGGTTAAAATATGGAAGAAAGCAATTGACAAAATAATTTTTGTTTTATTTTTGAACAAAAAAGGTAGTTTAGGATTTTTTTAAAAAAAAAATATAGCCTTTTGGATTTATATTGTTATATAAACAGTAAAAGTAAGAAAGGTAAGTGTAATTTAATAAACTTGAAGGGATTTCTGTAATTATAAAAAATCTCAGGGAGATTTCTGAAATTATTCCTATAAAAAGTACTCCTAGACACTGGAAACTACAGAGTTGCCTTGCTTCAACAGTATCAATAGGAAACGACATGCTAAAGATTCCTAGTTTCTACCGATCTTCATTTCCGCTCGGGACAGACATGAACGATAAATAGGGGTTCACGTGTTGTTCATTTTAAGGATGGACGGCACATGGGCATCGGACTTTTTGCCACGTGATCGAAGGACACTGATCATTTATTAATCACGTCAGGCATGTGGGCCCCACAATGTCGTTGATTCGCTGGCCCCTGCATTATTTATTTTGTTTGTGTCTAATCGTGACTTGAAAATAGACAAGGGAACCATTTTTTCCTGGAAGTTGCCAACCAAGACATTTTCCAATGCGTTGTTTATTGTTGTGAGGTCATAAAAAGACGCTGTCAGGAAATTTTCAATTGTTGAGCATCAGCGCCAAAATCAACATGTCGGCATGCCAAAGTTGACTTCCAGTGATATTATGTATAATGATATTTTTTGCCCTTTATTTTTATAAGGGATAATTTCAGAAACCTCCCTTGAGGTTTCATGAAATATCACCTAACTCCCCTAAATTTTTCAAAATCCCACTTAGCATCCTTGAAGTGATAGCAGGGCCATATACTAATATCAAAGGTGATGGATTATCAATAATACTCTCATATTTAAATTTTCTAAACTTTTTTTTCTTTCTCTAAATTTCCTACTTTTGTTTAACAATATCTATACAAACATACATACATACATACATACATACATACATACACATATATATATATATATGTATGTATGTATAATTGAATTGCAAATGTCAATGAAATATTCAATGCATTTGGAGAAGAATAGCTGCAGGTTCTTTTTATTTTTTTCTTTTTTGATATTTCACAACTTTATTTATTTATTTATTTATTACTATTCATGTAGAGCGCAAGAGAAATAAAGTAATTGAAACTCCGAATAGTTTTTCAAATTCTGACTTTTTCTATAATAAAATTTTCATATTTCACACCCATAAAAAAAATCTATCTATTTTGAGTAAATTTTTTTTGTATGATATTGAAATTAAATTTCATCTATTACTAAGTTTTTTTTACTCAAATGTATGATTTTACATGCTAATTACCTTCAACACTATGAAGGATTCTATTTGTAGAAATAGTTTAAAAAATAGTATTTACTTTTACTATCTCTTCCTACTGTAGAAGTGACTATTGGTTGTAACATAAAATCTTATCAATTTTCATCTCCTCACTTTTAAGATGGTTACTTTTTTTTCTTGATTTATAAAATGTTCATTTTTTTTTATAGTCTAAGGGTATTAAAGGCACTAAAATAATCTCTCTCCTCAAACATGAATTTTTTAATATTACTTTTGGTTAGAAGGGCTTTTAATGTTACCAAAATATCAATTCAAGGGGTGCTAAGTGAGATTTTGAAAACCTCAAGGGAGCTAGGTGATATTTCATAAAACCTTAGGGGAGGTTTATGAAATTATACCTTTTTATAAAATAATATTTTTCATCCCTTATTTTTAAAAGTATAAATTTACGTTCTTTACAAATTTATATTGATCAAATTTGACCCTTACATAAATTTCGGATTAGTTTTTGGATGAAATTCACCACGTGCCTTGTACATGATTATTTTTAAGAAACAAAATTGTCAAATCTAATTTCACATAATTTAATCCATAGTCTCTTATATTTTATAAAATAAATTTTTTTCATCCCTCATATTTTATAAAATGAATTTTTTCATCCCTCATTGATCATGTGTATGAGTAGCTTTTTTTTTATTTTTTAAATCCATATATATATCTGTTTGATTTTACCTAAACAATATGAATAATATGTAATATATTTTTATTTGATTTCATCTACAACTACAATTAACTTATTTAGGTGTGATCAAATAGATATATATATGGATTTTCAAAAATAAGAAAAAACTATTTGTGCACATGATCAATGATAGATGAAAATTTTTATTTTGTGAAATGTAAGAGACAAAAAAATTTATTTTATGAAATGTCAGGGATGAAAAAATTAATTTTGTGAAATGTGAGGGACTATGGATCAGTTTATGTGAAATGTGATTTAACAATTTTGCCCTTAAAAAATGATCACGTGCAAAGCACGTGATGGATTCCGATAAAAAACTAGTTAAAAATTTAGATAGGCACCAAATTTGATTAATGAAAATTTTTAAATGACGTAAAATTATACTTTTAAAGTTAAGGAACAAAAAAAGTCATTTTACAAAATGTGAGGGATGTTTTGCATAATTTTTTCAAAAAAAAAAGAAAAGAAAAGAAAAGGATATTATGTAATAGCTGCATCACGTGTAGTTAATTTTCTACAATGTTAATGCTAATATATCATATCCGCATATCTTTGAAATCTGGTTATGACCTCACTATATATATTTTTTAGAATGCAACTGAAATAAATGAATTTTTGAGTCAATGCGACTTCGTGGATTAAAATCTTAGAGGGACAACTTAACCACAGCAAAGATCATTGCTGAATAATGGAACTTCCCTCCAACTTGATTGCTTTCTTTCTTTTCCTAGCCTTTGTTTTAGCTTTATTCAAGGAATGGAGGAGATCCAAGGCAGCCAAGAAACTACCACCATCTCCTTCGAAGCTACCTATTATCGGAAATATGCATCATTTGATCGGTTCCCAACCCCATCAGGCTTTGACAAAATTAGCTCAGAAACATGGAGCTCTAATGCACCTTCAACTAGGTGAAATCTCATCAATCATTGTATCATCGTCGCATTTGGCTAAAGAAATTATGAAGACTCATGATCTTTCCTTCGCAAACCGGTCAGAGATTCTACTCAGCAAAATCATAATGTATAACAGCTCAGACATTGGCTTCTGCCCTTATGGTGACTACCTGAGGCAGGTGCGAAAGATATGTGCTCTGGAGCTCCTTAGTGCTAAAAAGGTCCAATCATTTGGCTCTATTCGGCAAGATGAGGCTTTGCATCTTGTTAAGTCTATTAGAAATCTAGCTGATGCTGGAGAAGTAATTCATTTTACAGACAAAGTACACTCATACACATGTTCTACGGTTTGTAGAGCAGCGTTTGGCAAAGTAACCAAAGACGTTCACAGCAAATTCTTACAGCTAATGTGCGAAATAGTACCCCTTTCAAGTACCTTTGATATTTCTGATCTTTTGCCTTCGTTCAAGATTCTGCATCCCCTCCTCTCTGTCAAGAGGCAGTTGGTGAAGATCCATCTTAAGATGGATAGACTCTTGGTCAATATAATCGATCAGCACATCAACAACCTGCAGAGAAATATGTCCACTGGTGAATATGGCAATGAAGATCTAATTGATGTTTTACTGCGAGTTAAACATAGCGGTGATCTTCAAATTCCAATTACTAATGATAACATCAAAGCTATTGTGATAGTAAGCACCAGGTCCTGAATTTTATGCAGTTCTAACTCTTAATTATGATTCCAATCTCTAATTTTTGCATTTTTTATTCATTGATGCAGGATGTGTTTTCTGCTGGAACTGAAACTTCTTCCACTACGGTAGATTGGGCTATGTCCGAGATGATTAGAAATCCAAGTGTGATGGCCAAAGCACAATCTGAAATAAGGACAGCCTTCAAGGGAAAGCAAATGTTTGAAGAAGATGATGTTCAAGAATTGAAGTACCTGAAGTTAGTGATCAGAGAAACACTAAGGTTACACCCTCCTCTCCCTTTGCTAGTTCCTAGAGAATGCAGGGAGGAATGTGAGATTGATGGATATGTCATCCCTGTGCAAACAAGAGTCTTGGTTAATGCTTGGGCAATGGGAAGAGACCCGCAGTATTGGGATGATCCAGAGAGTTTTAAACCAGAGAGATTCGAAAATAATCCAGTTGATTTTGCAGGAACTCATTTCGAATATTTACCATTTGGTGCAGGAAGAAGGATGTGCCCTGGAATTCAATTTGGTTTAGCTAATGTTTATGTTCCTTTAGCTTTTCTGCTTTACCACTTCAACTGGAAACTCCCAAACGGCCTAGATCCCAATGACTTGGACATGTCAGAGTCAACTGGAATAACTGCATCAAGAAAAGATAAACTTCGCTTGCTGGCTACGCCTTATGATCCATCCGAAGGAAAGTCCTGTTAAAATCTGTAAATTGATTAAGTGTTAGGGCTGTTGCCTGCCCTCTCATCTTCCTATGGGACCTTCGTTTCTTGATTTTTACTTAACTACTGTTGTTGCATATGGTATCTGTTTAATTCTCCAACAAATGGTTTTCCTGCAATGGGACACAATGGACATGATCAATTGTGAAAGTTTCTCATCCTACTTTTGTGCTAAGAGAAGCTCCATAACATACATCTGATGTCTTTTTTTCCATTATTATCTGAACTTAACCGTAATATAAAAGTCTGCATCTGTGAATCTCCATCTGGACAGGAGTAGTAGATGCCAAGTAATAGAGCAAAGAAACAGGTCAGGACAATATGCAGGCTTCTTTTGAACATAAGGCTTCTTTTGAACATATTTCTTTTGAACAGGTCAGGACCTTATATTTTTTTGGCCAAATCTTGGCCATCAAACTTTTAGAACGGTTGCAGGATGCAACCGTTCCTGCCCCAAATCCCTTATTCACATATGGTTATAATCATACCAACGTGGTATGATTATAACTCTATCATGAATAAAGCTCTCGAAATAATAATCATGTGGGGCGATCGGGTTATTGATGTAAGATGGATCCAAAAAAAGGAAGGTTCTAGTTATAATCCAAAAATGATTCGTATATTTATTTCACAGAAACATGAAGTCAAAGTACGCAATAAATTAGCTGGAAGACACGGAAATAAAGGTATTATTTCAAAATTTTTGACTACTTGGAAAACGCATAGGGCTTCTAAAATCCCAAGCTAACACTACTATGCCATTGGAAAGTTAAAACTGACGACTATAAAGTTGTAAGACTTAATTCATAAATGCAAGCTAGCTCACCTGAAAACTCTATTAGAATTTTATCTTGAACGATCGTTAAAAACAATATTGGTGATTCAACAACAGCTTCTTTATCCGCGAGGAGTAATGTTCGTGGTACTAATTCAACCCATCATATCGATTGGTGGAGCCAAACAGTCATACAAATCTTCCTATATTTTTCATCTTTCCCTGATTCAAATGCTTCTCAACCCATAGCTCTCTTTCTTGACTTTTATATGCGGTTTCTTAGCCCCAAGGCATACGCTTTTTATGCCCTGGGCTGCGTCCCATGGTCTGAGGCATTGTGGGGCATTCACCCAAGAAAACAAACGTCTGGCACATACATGCTGAGGCAGCTTAGGGGTGGCCACCGTGAAAATTTGAATCACATTTCAAAACCATGAATCAACAATTCAATTCATAAAAATGAGAGAAACTCTCACTATTGGTAAAAACCAACAAATGATATATTTTGATTGGAATTGGAGAAAAAAGTCTAACTATTTTAAGTAAAGCCATGTATTTCAGTGGCGGAGCCAGAAAAAATTTTCAATGGAGATAAAAACAACTCTAAAATTTTTTACCTATTCTTTTTTTAGTTTTTTAAGGAAAAAAATTTTCACCAACAAGTACAAATGATGCATATATTTCAGGAAAAACATCAAAAGACAAACTCAAAATTATTAATGTAATAATAATTTTATTTCAGAAGCAAACTAAACCATTTACAATTGTCCATGACGAGTTTTCATATTTTGATAACGATTTACAACCTTTCATTTTGAACTTCACGAAATATATTTTTCTCAATATAAGTAACTAAACAATTATTCATCCAAGTGTCTTTCATTCTCTTTTGTAACCGATTCTTCAATATATTCATCATTGAAAAAACCCTTTTTACGGTAACTGTAACAACATGTAAAATTAAAGATAACTTTAAAAGCATATGACCAATAAATACACAAAACTTTAGGGGGCACACTTAAAATTACATCAAATTTTTATAGGTATTATAGAAATTTAAGGAGGACAATAGAAACTTATAAACTAATAGATACACAAAACTTCAAGGGGTATAATTGAAATTATATCAAATTTTATAGGTATCACAGAAATTTAAGGAGGCAGTGAGAACCGGTGCCCCCGGTGCCCAGTGTAAATCCGCCACTCATGTATTTTATTTAGTGGGACAATGTTCGAGAAAGAAACAGTTGGAGTGCAAAGCCACGTATTTGAGTGGGACAATGTCTCGCACCCGATATTGGACCAGTCACAGGACCCAACATAGTATGGTCCAATATTTCCAATAAAAATAAAAATCTTAATACAACGACTAATAAGATGCTACGACTACTCATATTATTCAATTCTAACTCTCAGATAGCCCTAATGACACAGAATGATAGGTTGAACAACCAGGAGTTTCTTGTTCTGTTTCAAAAAACTTGAATTGGAGCTGGAACTGGTAGTTTAGAATCAGTTCAAATCATCTAAAAAAACACTTGCCACTTAATTCTATTTAAACCAGTTTAAAGTTTAATATCAATAGTCAACACTTAATACCAGTAGTTCAAATCCTAACCCAACAACCCATTGTTCTATCCCATAACTAATCAAAATCCAGGATCAATCCAATCTAATAAAAAATGAGGTATTTTTCATAAAATTTGCATCATTTTTTTTCCTTGCGCATAATAATACCAAAAGTTTTTTTTTCTACATTCATTGTTATATTTTCTTAGAATCAATTTTATAACAACAAGTATTTAAGCATAACTACACGAACCGGAACCATGATCGGAACAAAATTTGAACCAAAATCAAATCGAAATCGGAGGTTCAAGAACAGTAAACATAACCGTCCTTATAAGAGTTGACAGGTGCCGAACCTGTGCAATAATAATAATAATACTTAACTACCACCAAAAGTAGTCATTAATCAATTCTAGGTACTGGAGCAGGGATTCTAGGTGTGCAATGGGTTACTTGATTCACCCTGTTCCCGAAGAGTTTGTTTAATCCGATATACCCGAATTAATTATCTGACTAAATTCACTAACTAGTAGACAGTGGCAAGCAGGGTCGTCTCCTCAGGGACTGGGGAGAAATTTATTTCCTTTCGAGTCAAGACAAATGGGGGTTTTCAGAATTAAATGCTAACTAAATAAATTAAATGCAGAAAATAATTAATTAAAAGAAATAATTGGGAGAACTTTAGCCAATGGTACACTTCAGAAATGGTTCATGCAACTGCTCATCGATCCACATATAATTCCAACATTTATTAATAGATTAGTTATAGTTGTCATGCACGCGATAAACAACCAACCTTTCCTTAATTTCTCGATAGTTAAGGTACGACTATTAACTATTTTTCTAACCCGGAAACAACTCTAGGTACGATCGTAGGATTTAATTTCTAGATTGCATTAATAATTAGAAAGGCCCAATCCTAACTAACAAACACGCTACGAAGGTTTGTTTAAGTTAGATCGTATGTTTCCCTGACATAAACCCAATTATGCCAGTTGCTACCGGGACAGAGATAATCAAACAATTACGGATTCAGTTACCCCTAATTAGCAAAATAGCCTATGTGAATAATTAATTATTGCGCACTAATCAATCATACACAAGACTATAACAGTTAAAGGCAGGAAACATATAAATATCAATAAATAGAAAGAATTATTAAAATAATTTAGATCTCACAGTATTTATCGAACCAAATCGTCAATTGTCCCTTTGACTAAAATTAAGAAGCTAGTTCTCCATTGATGGAAAACAAGCTATTCGAAACTTACAATTGTCTCCGATCCGTGACATACGAGAGAGCCTGGCTGCCCTCTCCAATTGTGTTTTTCCCAAGTAAAAAGCCAAAAGCCCATAGTCCACAACGGCGGCTAGCCTTGTTGGTTTCTCCCTAATTGTCCTTTAGAAACCAAAACAAAATCCTTTTTCACGTTGATTCCACCCAAAATTGCAATTCCTTTTTCACGTTGATTCCACCCAAAATTGAAGGAATTGCCTCCTTTCTTTTCGGCTAGAAAAGCATAAAGAAAAGCTGATGCCTCCTGTCCCTTGTGCGGCCAGGCCCACCCAAGAGAAACTCACGCTGCTCACTTCCTAATAGTCTAGAGTTCTAATCTATACCAACTTTCCTTATCTAACAGATTCCTAAAAAGAGTGATTTCCTAATAGTACTCAACTACTAGATAGAAAAAGGCAATAGTTATTCCAGCATTGCCTCTGACTTGGAGTCCACAATTCTTTGGAAATTGCTTCCGTTCGCATGAGATCCCAGCTTTCCGGCTTTGAAGGGTGGAGTTGAGCGTGGGCACGCCTAAGTGTCAAGAAATCTTCCGGAATTTGATTTACATCACTTTTTCAGCATTACTTCCTGCAATTAATACCAAACATCAAACTTGAGTAGAATCCATCCAATAGAATGACATTTAGTCCAAACAACTACGAAATAGCAGTGAAATAATCCACTAAAATGCACTCTATCAAGAGTCAGTTCAGATTTCACCTTTTAGAAAAATCAAAACTATTAGTTTTAAAAATACCAACGATTCTGGAACCGTAGCCATGTGTAAGACAACTGAGTCGCGTCTTGCCTGAAGGAATGCACCTCCATAATGTTCTTTAATACATTGCGTATTAGATAAGTAGTGAATGCCATTAGTGATTAGTATCTAAACTTCTTCCAACTGACACTTTGGTACCTAAATTTATAAAATTATGTCTAACTGGTTTATCAGTCCAATTTCGGTAGAATTTATCACCCGAAAATAGGTCATATGCGTGGCACATGTAATCAAACTAAGGGTAATTTTGAAATATAAAGTTAACAGTAAACCCAAAAAAAAAAGTTCGTAATTGATCATCTTATTTGTCCCTCCTTCCTCTTGATTTGCTATAATTTTTTAATTGATCCAAAAAAGAGGTGTCTATTGTTTTTTTAAGAGGTGCCTATTGAGTCTGGGAATATTAATAATAACAAAAAAGATATTTTATGTATATTCTTTGGATTTGAATTTAGAGATTAATCGGATATTTTTTTCTCCTTTTCTCATTGGCTGTTGACTTTTCATTCCAAGATTACCCTTAGTATGGTTGCACGTACCGTGCGTGTGGCCTACTTGGGTTGGTAAATTTTACCAAAATTAGGCTGGTAAATCAATTAGACATAATTTTGTAAGTTCAGGTATCAATTAAAGCAATTAAAAGTTAAGATACCAAAATATCACTCCACAAAAAGTTTAGGTACCAATAGTGGCATTTACTTTATAGATAAACGTATATTTGAAAATTGCCTTATGAAGGTCTAGACGAGATTCCTCAATGTCATCTTGCTCAATAAAATGCTAAAATCCTTCTACTCATCAGAAAAAAGGGGTTAAATTGAATCATAGTCTAAGCCCTTGAATACCATTTTTTTTTTCAGATTTAAAGAGCTGAATCCAAAACTTGTGCTCAGAAAGGTGTTGACTCATGCTGTCACTAGCAATCTTATAGGGAAAGTTTGCTCTAAATTGAATCTACTGAAAGACGAGTTGAAGAAGTTGAAAATTTATTTCCATAACCGATAGAGTTAAACGAATAAAAAAGCAGCTATCTGATGTTCAGAATGAATTCGAGAGAAAGATATTTGATGCTGGATCAGAAAACCATGAGAAAGCACTGATTCTTTCCTATGCTAAATTATGAAAGATTGAGGAAGGATTCTATCAAGCAAAAATCCGGAGTAAAATGGTTAGGTAAGCGTGATCATAACATAGCTTTTTTCCATAAGACATTCTATTGACATCAAGCGAGAAATCCTATTATTACCATACCAATTCTTCAATGGCTCAAGACAATCGAAAGTAAATCCTTGACATCATCAAGGAACTAAAAACCAAATCTAACTGGAATATTTTGGCAATATCAAATAAAGCTTCACTTATAGGAATTTTTATTACATTGATAAGAAAGCTGCCGGTTATCCAAAACCTTTGATGCATTCACAAAGTTTCTGTTGGCATATCAAGGGATGGATCATACATCGTGGCAAGAAGGCAAAGATTGTTTGCTCTTCCCCCATTTAGTCCAACACTCTCTGTCATGTCTATTTCACTGGATTTGAGACCATTGGGCAGCTTCCAGTCGAAATGGTGGAGCAAGAGAGCTAGAGGAAGCCCAACATTGGCTAAACCAAATGATATTCCTGGGCGAATTCTCCTTCCTGCACCAAATGGGAGATATTCAAAATGAGTGCCAGTAAAGTCAATCGAAGAGTTCTAAAATCTATCGGGTATGAAACTCTCTGGATCATCCCAAGACTCAGGGTCACTTCCGATTGCCCAAGCATTGACCATGACTCTTGTTTTAACGGGAATTATATACCCATCAATTTCACATTCGTCCCTGCATTCTCTTGGAATCAACAGGGGAGAATGTATCCTCAAAGTTTCTTTTATTATTAAGTACTTTAGTTCTTGAATATCACTTTCTTCAGCTGTTTTCTTTCCCATGCAGGCTTTCTGTATTTCACTTTGTGCCTTGACCATCACCCTTGGATTTCTAATCACCTCTGAGATTGCCCATTTAACTGTTGCTGATGAAGTTTTATTTCCCGCAGAAAACATATCCAGCATCAAAAGCCAAAATTGTTCGTTAAAACAAACTGAACATGCAAGTCAGTAGTGAAACTGAAACTTATTGCCTTGCTATCCTCGAAATTCTTCAGAATTCCCTCAAATTTCTTTTTGGGAGGTGGTCAATGGCTTTGCATTACTTCCTTAATGACTTTACCAACATTATAACGTAAATAGCAGACCATTATTTCTCAAATTCATCGTAATGATTGCTGCTCTGCAGAGCGCAGAAATTGTATAAGAGAGGAGATTTTCTGTTTGATTGATTGATTCTCCTGCAACAGCTAGATCCTTAATTGAAGTAATGAGGTGCAAAGCCTCATCTTGCCAGATGGAGCTAAATGACCAGACACGTTTAGCAGTGAGGAGTGCCAAAGCACATATTTTACACCTGTCTCCAGTCGTCACCATATTGACAGATAGCAATATCTGTTATAACATATGATCTTGCCTGACAGAAATTGTGCCTGATTCACAAAGGCAAGATCAAGAGTTTTCATAATCTCTTTCGCTAAATGGGGTGAGGATATGACTATTGTAGAAATTTCACCCAGCTGAAGGTGCATCAAAGGTCCATGCTTTTTAGCTAATTTTCAGAGATCATGATGAGGTTGTGAACCTGTCAAATGATGCATAGTTCCAACAATAGGTAGCTTTGATGGAGGGGGCGGCAGCTTCTGTGTGTTTTCGGGTCCATTGTTTTAGAGTAGCTACAATACAGGCTAAGAATAGGAAGAAAGCAATGAAGTTAAATTCTAGTTCCATAGCTAGGGGATATTGTATGTGGTGCAGTTTACATTGCATCTGCTATTTTATCCAGAGTGTCGACGTTGACTTGACACATAAGACTTTTGGTATATTAACAGAAGACATGCTGACTAATATGGATGAGTTAGAAAATAAGTCTGATGGGCTATTCTGCAAATGTTTAAAACAGACTATCTGCCACTAATTAATCGAACCGTGGCTTAATAACTGCATGCTATTTAACATCCACCGTGACTCCTTAGAAGCTGCTAATTTTGGATGGAAATGCCAAATTTGACACCTGATGAAGGCACTTTGTGGAACCTTGTCATTAGAGAATATTAGTCTGTTGAATAGAGGATCTATGCTGCTTTTTAGGTCTATGCTTTGATTGTTGAATGCACATCGTTCTTTTTCATTTTTCCTTTCCTGTGTGACTTGTGTGCATAGTGGTTTGTAGCTTTGCTTTCTTTCGCTTATATTTTCTCAAGAAACTAGTATTCGTAACTGAAGTCCATTTCTTTATTAGAACTGTACATATTCAAGTTATGTTATTATAGAAACCTTTTGCTCATATTACAGTTGGAGAAAGTATTTGGCTCATCCTGATTCACTTAACGGATTTTTTGTCATAGGCAGGAAAGAAGTGAAATTACATTTTGTTACTTTAACCTTGCAAGACTTCTGGGGAAAATATGATCATGGTATCATGGTTGCCCGGGTGCACTAGAGCATACAAATATTTGAGCTTCTGATATGCAAAGAAAGATGTTGAAGTCAACATCCAAGATGAGAGGGCTATTCAATATTGTGTGGTTGGTTGTTGGATGATTCCTAGTTCATAGTAAGAAAATGCTTGTTCACTCTTTCTCTTTGAGTTGCACTGATTCAATGTACAAATCTTCTGATAAAAGTTTAGGTTCCAACTTGTAGAATAGCGGCATGGAAAGTTAGAAGCTCAGGGAAATCAGTAAATTGGCAAATAAACTATTAGGCTAGATCAAAGAAGAACACAGGTCCTCTTTGACTATAAACTTTTCATAAAAACAAAAAGTGATGATATTTACCTGGATTTGTAGTACAATGCTTCAGATACTCTCGTACAAAAAGTGATTGAAGGAATGAAGTGAAATTAACAGAGAAAATTTGTGAATAATTAAATCAAATTTCACAATTCATCTGCGAATCTGGCTTGCAACCAAAGGTTATTTTTTCTTGAAGCAGTTATTCCAATGGCCTCTGTCATATCTAAATCATTGGAGTTGAGGCCATTCGGAAGTTGCCAATCAAAATGATAGAGCAGAAGAGCTAAAGGAAGCTCAACATTGGCTAAACCAAATGAAATTCCTGGGCACATCCTCCTTCCTGCACCAAATGGAAGATACTCAAAGTGAGTTCCCGTGAAATCAGCAGCACTGTTTTCAAACCTCTCAGGTTTGAAACTATCAGCATCATCCCAATACTCAGGGTCTCTTCCAATTGCCCAAGCATTAATCATAACTCGTGTTTTCACAGGGATGACATATCCATGAAGTTCACATTCCTCCCTGCATTCTCTGGGAACCAATAGGGGAAGAGGAGGGTGTAACCTTAAAGTTTCTTTAATCACTAACTTCAGGTATCTCGCTTGCTGGATATCAGTTTCTTCAACTGCTTTTTTGCCCTTTAAAGCTTTCCTTATTTCATTTTGCGCCTTGGCCATCACATCAGGACTCCTAATCATCTCAGACATTGCCCATTCCACCGTAGTTGACGAAGTTTCAGTTCCTCCTGCGAACATATCCTACATCAATCCAGAACCATTTTCTTTTGGTGAAACACACGATTAGAGGAGAAAAAGCAGGAAGTTTATTTCAATGGCACTTACAATTAGAACAGCTTTGATGTTATCTTTGGTGATTGGAACCAGAAGGTTATCACCATCTTTTACTCGTAGTAGAACATCAATTAAATCTTCCTGGTAGGATTCACCACTTGCCAATTTTGGTCTACCTTGGTCGTCAATATGCTGATCAATTATGCCATCCAACATCATATCTATCATATGATGGACATTCACCATTTTAGACTTTACTGAAAGGAGGGGATGAAGAATTTTGAGTGATGGAAAGAGATCAGAGAAGTCAAAAGCGCTTGATAGGAGTAGTGATTCCTTGATCAGTTGCAAGAATGCATTTTGGTCATCTTTGCTTACTTTCCCAAATGCTGCTCTGCAAAGCACGGAACTTGTGTACAAGGAAACTAATTCTGACAAATTGATTTGTTCCCCAGAGCCAACCAAAGCCTTGATTGATGAAATAAGATGAAAAGCCTCATCTTTTCGAACAGAGCCAAACGATCGGACACGTTTAGCACTAAGGAGCTCTAGAGTGCAGATTTTACGCATTTGTCTCCAGTATTCACCATATGGTGAGGAAACAACATCTGAACAGTTATATCTTCCGATCTTGGTTACTAGAATCTCAGCCCTGCTTGCGAAGGCAAGATCATGATTTTTCATGACCTCTTCTGCTAAGCGTGGGGATGATATGACGATTGACGAAATTTCACCAAGCTGAAGGTGCATAAGGGATCCATGTTTCTGAGCTAATCTTCTGAGAGCATGTTGGGGTGGGGAACCTATCAGATGATGCATATTTCCAATCAAAGGTAGCTTCCATGGAGATGGTGGCAGCTTCTGAGCTGCTTTGAAGCTCTTCCACTCCTTGACTAAAATCCAAACAAACGATAGTAAAACAAAGAAGCCAATGAAGTTGAAGGGAAGATCCATTTCAAGTAATCTTCTATTCTCCAATCTTTTGATTGCTTCCAGTTTTATGCTGACAGTTAGAGTCTGGATAGCCCACAAATTAAGTTGATAGCTAAAGTATCTTTTAGAGGTTGTTGAAATTGACTAGATTCAAAAGTTACTTAAACACGTATATAACTTTCCTAATAATTAATACCAGAATAGTTTCTCTCCGATAAGGTTTCAACTGTTAGAAAGTAGGATTGTCAACTTTAGCATGGTAGATAATGTTATTTTCAAGGGATAATTTTAGAAACCTCCCCTGAAGTTTCTAACAATTTCATTGACCTTTCCTAAGGTTTTGAAAATGACATAAACCTCCCCTGAACTTATAGTTGTAGTAACATGATCAGCCCATGTCAGAAAAATGAGCATTAAAAAGGAGTTTTGAAGAGTGGGATGATATTTGTGTTCCATATATGCCCTTTTTGCTTATACACAACTTGTATTAGTAAATAATGAAAAATATTAAAAGACATAAATAATTAGTAAATTCTAGCTGGTGTAAGAGCTATTAGAAAAAGTGTTGTAGCAACAACTTGAAGTTTCAGTTTGCACCAATGGCTAGTGCAATGGCCATATTTTTAGTTTCTTTCAAAAGCATATAAACGGCTCAAGCAACTCAAGAAATAATTTATTTTTAGTGTGATTATCTGATTTTGAGGTAATAAAAAGTGGCAAGGCTGGAACAACCAAAGGCTATAGTTAACATGATACTCATCATAAATATCACACTAGGTGTTGTATTTATATTCATCCAAATTATAAAATCAATTGGATAAACTCTTGTAACAAATGTAAAAGTGCCACGACATTGTACCAGCTATTTTAAGTCTTTTCTAATTATATAAGAAGTAAACCAGTAGTACTTGTCAGTTAGATTGTATTTGGAAGAAATGTATGACTGTTATTTGATGACTACTACTATAACTTTACTAAGAGATAATAAGTTACAACATATTAGTTGAACTAGTTAGTAAGACAACATAAGTCACTTGACGTTAGTTCAAAATTGCTATAATTGTAGCAGTTGTAGTACTACATAACTATTGCTGCAATCCAAAATAGTTTCAAAACACCATCTGCCCCAAAAGAATGAAGCAGGTGGTAAGGATTGCAAAGCCAAATTTCATGACCATTGATTGTTTGTCACTAATGCCAACCATATACAAAAGCATGAGTGGGTAGCATGTCAATAATCTTAATGCAAATCAGCAGATTTTAACTTGAGAGGAGCCATGCTTTTCTCCTTCCTTTCCCTCGATTTTTCTATCTTGCCCAAGTTTTCGTATAAGACTGTCCTTGTGTTGCTCTCTGAAGTCATGTCGAATCACAAGAAAATGGCATCATATTGGTGCATCAATTAGTGCCATTTCTTAAGTGCAGTTACATTGGCTTATTAGAGGTAGAACCACGGTTAATATCATTTAATTAGTTCATTTATTTAATGACCTAATTATGTTTTTCCAGAAATTCGTTTCTTATCAGCCTTTTATGCATTAGGGCAAAGCAGTAAATTCATTCCAGGTTACATCAGCAATGGGCCCCAAAATCAGTTGAGAGGAGGTCAGTGTTATTTTCGAAACCTCAGGGGAGGTCAGCGAAATTGTCAGAAACCTCAAGGGAGGTTTCTAAAATTATCCCATTTTCAATTGTATATTGAATAATTCATTAGCCAATCGGATAAGTTGCTTATTAGTTTTCATTTTGTCTATTTAATGGAATTTGACACAAAGCTACGATACTGACTGCAATTAATTTCTTTAGTCATAATTGTAGAAACTTACCTACAGAATTTGTGTTATTGCAGAATATTTTACTATTAGATTACTAATTAATAGTACAATGATGATTAGGGGACCATAAGAAGCCTGAC